GACCAAGATGAATTGAGTGGATGAGTTTTTGCTTCTTGTATTTCCCTGAAGTTAGTTCGTTGTCTTATAGCTCCCTTCATCTTCCACAAATAGCCCGCTCTTAACAGTTCTTAAATCCCTCAGGTGACAAGGTTCATAAAGAGTGTGAAGCACTCCTGAATCATGTTAGGACTTAGACCAGAGATGGCAAATGAATGACACACCGTTTCCCCTCTTCATCCATGGGTGGTACCACTAATCTGCTTCTGAGTATTTCCTGCTACATTCCTGGTATACCCTCATTTCTCTAGATTCCCCTAGCAGCCAGTGTGAGTGATGAGACCTATTTGCCATCCCTGGCTGAGATCCTGCTCTGCTGAGGAACAGAAGAGCTGCCAACAGGGTTTGCTGGGCTGAGGAAGCGCGGGAAGAGGCAGAAGTTTCTGCCTGCCCCCTTCACAGAGCAGGGAGGCCTGCAGTGGCCCACAGGATCACCTGCCCCACTTCAGCTACCTCTTAAAGCCTATAGTGCTGGCCAGGTGGGGACTGCCAGAGCCCAGTATGGTGTGGCAAGGTACAGTCCTCAGAAGCCAAGTCTAGCTGCTTGGTGAGCAAGGTGGCCCCAGCCATACAGGGTAGAAGCTCTGCTCTCAGCTCAGCCCTCTGTCTGTAGCCATCCAGGCCAGGCTGTAGGTGGGGTCCCATTCTCCTCTCTGTTGACCAAATCTTTTCAGTCACTACAGCTGCTCTGCTTGCTCTGCTTTCCAAAGTCAGCCCAGGTTCCTGGGTGCTGCCCACACCAGCCAGGGTCCTGGGCCAGATGATGAGGTGGCCTATCCGCAAATGAAGGCCAGTTCCTTCCTCAGTGGGGCAGGTCTCATGCCCATGACCTCAGTTTTTGGACCAAGAGCTGTGTTGGTTTCTTAGATTGCTAGCTTTTCCTCCAGGGGACCACCGCGGGTGAGGCTCTGCTGACAGTAACTTGTGTTCAGGGTCTTGTCCAGCTGAGAGCTTCGTGTACACCAGATTCTGAGAGGTGGCAGCAGCACTTTTTAAAAAATTTGTCTTCTGTGAGGTTTTTGGACCATGGGCTGCGCTCAGGCACTTTCTATGAGAGAATGTTACGTCTGTAAACAATGGTTATCCCCCCCCCAGCCCCCACCCTGGTGTCTGTTGCCGGGGGGTGCCCAGGCCTGCTGAGGTGGTTCTCCTGCTGCTGCTCCAGCCCTCCCACCTTGCACAGCACAGAGGAGGTCACCCTAGGGACAGCCAGGCACCTGCCTGGGGGAGGGGTGCTGCCTTTTGTCCCTGTAACTGCTTCCCTTATGGCCCAGCCTGGCCGTCCAGATTTGTTTGAAGCTGTGCTGACAGCTTTTTTGTCTCCTTTTGGTATTCACAACAGCCAGGGACTTGATGTATTTTAAAACCACATTAAATAAAGAGTCTGTTGCCTTACTTTTTCTCTTCCAACCTTTGTGGTCCTTTGCTACTTCTGGATCCATCCGACCATCACTGATGTGTCCAGATCTGTGACATCCCTGGTTCCGCCCTGGTATCGCGCACCTTCCAGAGTGCCCTCCTGCCTTCCAACAGTCACTGCAGGCTTAGGACACTAGCAGATTCACTTCAACTGCCTGAGCAGAGCCCTTCGCAAAGTTGGCATGATGCTCATCAGATATATATGATTTTTTTCCCATCCAGACTTGTCCCTGGCCTCTGAGAGTTCATGGGCTAGTGAGGGGGAAATGTGCTTTTAGATACAAGAAAGTTGGTTGTGCTCTGGGAGCAGAGAAGAGGTCCTGTTCCCTTCACCAAGGGGATAGAGTTGGATCCTAGAATAGCCTAAGGACCCAAAAGGCAAGTGGAAGTTTGACATTTAGTGAGGAAGTGGTTGATTAGGCAAAGCAGGTGCACTGGAGGGTAGTGGGAGGAAATGAGACCAGCCAAACCACCATGAGCCTCTGTGCCAGGTTAAGGAATCTGGGCTAGATCGAGAGAGAAGGAACCACTGAAGTTGCTTAAATACGAAATCAGTCAAGTCTATGAGGAAGGCGCAAAGCGGGGAGAGTAGAGTTTGGCATAGGGCAACTAGCGGGGGCCCAAATTAAGATGAGTCGATGCTGTCACCATCGCCACTGGGGCTGTCCACCATGGGTTGTATCTCTGACACTGGCCCACCCAAGAGAATACACAGGAACTTCCACGTCGCTTTAACTTCATGCATTCCATTCCAAGACCAGAAGTTGCACTTAATGCTTATGGATGGGTGTGTTTCTTACTCCTGTTCACCTACCCCAAGGTGAGGTGTAAAAGTTGAGACTCCTATAAGGGAGACATCCTACTTGAACCTCACCCAGCATCCTGTTCTCTCCACCTGGGCTGGTCTGGCCCAAAGGATTACATATGAATACCTGCCACATGGCGGAGACAAGTGTCCTTCCCTCCAAGCTTCCACAGGCTTATATGTCCACACTGATTGTTGAAGTCTTAATGTCTTCCCTTCTGGGTCAGTCTAAATGTTAGAAGCACCTGGGAAAGAGCCCTGATGAGGTGCATTTGGAAAGGGTGACCGCCCCTCTGGAATTCAGTGAGGCCCAGGCCCGAGAGAGATGCTCCTGCTCTGTGTGTGTGTAGGGGGTGGGGGGCAGGGAGGTGCGGTGGTGGTGTGCTGGCCCTGGGGCAGTTATCTGAGACTACAGGGCAGCCTCCTGTTGCATCAGATGCTTCTCAGGGGACCTGAGCTGGGAGCCTCTGACTGGTCTTTTAATAGCTGCCCCATTGATCTGGCCTCCTGGGGCAGGACCAGCAGCGCTGGCTCAGCCTTCATCAGACACTCAGGTTTCCCTCCTGGGGGCTGGTGTCAAGCGCTGGGTAATCGCACTGGTTTTGCTCTGACCTGATGCTCCCCACACGTGTCCCCTAGGCCTGGGGGTAGGGAGAGGGTAGGCTTGGCCTTGTCATTTCATGAATGGCTGAATACACCCCCATCACCTACCAGAATGGGTGCTCTGGAGGGAGTGGTATTATCCTCAATATTGTTGACTTTTAGTAAAATGGGACAATGACTGCCTTCCTTCAGGATTGTTACAAGGATACATAAAATGCATAATAGGGGACCTGGACTCACTTGAAAGATGGTTATCTTCTCTTGCAGTTTCTTTCTGCTGCTGCTTTTTGTGTTTCATATTTGTTGTTGTTGTCATTCAGTTATTCAGTTGTGTCCAACTCTTTTTGACCCCATGAACTGCAGCACGCCAGGCAACCCTGTCCTTCACCAGCTCCCAGAGCTTGCTCAAACTCGTGTCCATTGAGTCGGTGATGCCATCCAACCATCTCATCCTCTGTCATCCCCTTCCCCTCCTACCTTCAATCTTTCCTAGCATCAGGATCTTTTCCAATGAGTCAGTTCTTCCCATCAGGTGGCCAAAGTATTGGAGCTTCAGCTTCAGCATCAGTCCTTCCAATGAATACTCAGGATTGATTTCCTTTAGGATTGACAGGTTTCTCCTTGCAGTCCAAGGGATTCTCAAAAGTCTTCTGTAACACATTCAAAAACATCAGTTCTTCAACGCTCAGCCTTCTTTATAATTCAACTGTCACATCCATACATGACTATTGGAAAAACCATAGCTTTGACTAGACCTTTATCAGCAAAGTACTATCTCTGCTTTTTAATATGCCTTCTAGATTTGTCATAGCTTTTCTTCCAAGGAGCAAGTGTCTTTTAATTTCATGGCTGAAGTCACCATCTGCAGTGATTTTGGAGCCCAAGAAAATAAAGTCTGTCACTGTTTCCATTTCCATTGTTTCCCCATCTATCTGTGATGAAGTGATGGGACAGAATGCTATGATCTTGGTTTTTTGGATGTTGAGTCTTAAACCAGCTTTTTCACTCTCTCTCTTTCACCTTCATCAAGAAGCACTTTAGTTCCTCTTCACTTTCTGCCATTAGGGTGGTGTCATCTGCATATCTGAAGTTATTGATATTTCTCCCCCTGGCAATCTTGATTACAGCTTGTGCTTCATCCAGTCCAGCATTTTGCATGATGTACTCTGCATATAAGTTAAATAAGCAGGGTGACAATATACAGCCTTGACATATTCCTTTCCCAATTTGGAACGAGTCCATTGTTCCATGTCCAGTTCTAACTGTTGCTTCTTGACCTGCATACAGGTTTCTAAGGAGGGAGGTAAGGTGGTCTGGTATTCCCATCTCTTTAAGAATTTTCCAGTTTGTTGTGATCCACACAGTCAAAGGCTTTGGCATAGTCAATGAAGCACAAGTAGATGTTTTTCTGAAACTCTTGCGTTTTTCTATGATCCAATGGTTTTTGGCAATTTGATCTCTTGTTCCTCTGCCTTTTTGTAAATCCAGCTTGAATATCTAAAAGCTCTCGGTTCACATACTGTTGAAACCTAGCTTGGAGAATTTTGAGCATTACTTTGGTAGCGTATGAGATGCGTTCAATTGTGCAGTAGTTTGAACATTCTTTGGCATTGCCTTTCTTTGGGATTGGAATGAAAACTGACCTTTTCCAGTCCTGTGGTCACTGATGAGTTTTCCAAATTTGCTGGCATATTGAGTGCAGCACTTTAACAGCATCATCTTTTATGTATTTTATATGAATATATATATACACATTCATTCATTCTCTCCCAGCTCCCCACCTCCTTCTCTCCTCCATTTCTGACAAAGCTTCCACCATTTTGCAAAGGACTGTAGCTTCTCTCTTAAACTGATATTCAGTGAAAGGATTTTTTGGATTGTCCTCGCATAACCAATATCATCACCTTAATTCAAAAGGAGACGTGAAGTTCAATGAAAGGGACAACTTAATAAATGTGGAGATGCTCCTCCCATCTCACTCCATCCCACTCTTTAAAAGGTCAGTTTCTCTTTAAATGCAAATTACCTACTGCGAGCTCAGCATCCACCCATTCCGTTCCCTAGTTGGAGAGTGCTGAGGGCGGAGGGAACCGGCACGGAAGCATCACTCCAGACCCTAAATCTTCAGGTTCGTTTCCCCCTTGAGGGTGGGGTGCAGAGGCGGAATGACGCTGGTCTCTCGCTCCATTTCGGATCCTGGCTTCCGAGCTGAGAGATCCATTTGGCACGCGGGTTTATAGACTGATTGTGGAAAATAGATCCCAGGTCGCCACCACGCTTTCCTGGGGAGCTGGGGCTCCCACTGTAATTCTTCTCTCGTGTCTCTAATTGGACTGAGCTGCTGCTGGGCCAGGCATTTGACGCGCTTGTTCCCCCAGCACCACACCCCCTCAGTGCCAGCCGGCTTCGTGCCAATTTAAATGCTTATGCCCCAGGCGCCACCCCAGAGTGCGGAGTCGGGCTTGGTGTTGGAAGCTGGGAGTAAGCAGCTTGGGGAAACCCCGTAAAGGGCCTCCAGACCTCAGGCAGAGGCACCTCCACGGACCTGGAGCCGAGGGGGCGGGCCGAGAGGGAGGCCGAGCGGTGCGAGCATCGGCGCAGCCTTTGTTGGAGGCCTAGGCTGCCGGCTGCCCTGCCAGACCACCCGCCCTCTCTGACTACAGCTGCAGCCTAGAGGGGACTTCCCGACTGGGGAGGGTGAAGCAGCTGGAAGTCTGTCCCAAGGAACTAATGGGAGTCTCCTGGTGTTTACCGTTGGGGGTGGAGTGGAAGAGAAAGAATGCTAGTGTCCAAGTGCGGGGACTGAGCCCTGCCAGCTCAACCATTGATGCCCATACTCTAGGGGTCGGACACGGGGTCTTCCCAGGTGATCCCATGCACGCCTTGATCCCCTTGAGGTTTGTCAGGGTCTGTCCAGGCAGTTGATAAATAGAACCGGAGTCTAATTAAGACACCCCTAATCCCCAGCTGGGCTCCTGCCAGCTCACATCCACCCTGACTCCCCCTACATTTCCTCTGCCAGCTCCACCCCCTCAGCTACAGGGACAGGAAACCCCGGGAGCAGCTGCAGCCCAAGAATAGTGTCTGATCCAGTCCTTTCAGGCAAGACCTAGGTTTTCAGGCTAAAACTAAAGGGCAGAGGAGATTTGGACTGGGCCACAGGTCTTTGGAATACACATCTGTGATCTCAGCAGTAGGTGCCGGCACCCGGCCTTCCCCTACTGGAGTGATGAGGGGACAGTTTGAAGGTCCTGGGGCATCCTTTGCAATTCTCAGGGATAGCTGGGTGGAGGGATGGCTTTGCCCACACCATCTCAGTGGGTGCCTCCCTCCCAGGGCCTGAGGCCTAGCCAGCATCCAATGGAGGACAAGAAGAAGAAAAGGAGTCCCAAGCCCTGTTTGACCCAGCCAGCCCAGCCCCCAGGCACACTACGCAGGGTCCCAGTGCCCACCAGCCACAGTGGCTCCTTGGCCCTGGGACTCCCTCATCTGCCATCCCCCAAACAGCGGACCAAGTTCAAGAGGTAGGTACAGATGGGAAGCAGGGCAAGGAGGGAGGGACCCTAACTCTGGCCTGAGCCCTGTGGGCAGCAAGGTAAAGGGGGTCTTAGCCTATAATTACTAAGTAGGAATCCATGCCTTCCCTGGGGCTCCCCCTCCCTCCACTGGCCCCTGAGATTTCAGACCCAGTCCCTACTTTCAGGTGTGTTAGGGAAAGACCCGGTGGGTCACAGGGATCACCCAGTGTGATGATGCACCTTAGAGCAGGGAGTGAGCAAACTTCTAGGAAGTGAATCAGAGAAGGCTGTTGGGCACACTGGAGACAGAGACTGTTCTAAGCTGAGGGGCCTGGCTGGCAGAAGTATAGAAGAAAAATATTGCCTGCAAGGTTCCAGGAATCACAAGTGGTTTGGTGGTCCCGGAGTGTCATGGGGCAGGAAATGGTGAGGGGATACTCAAGTAAACAATTTGAGTTCTCCACTTGTTTTAATGATTGAAAACTTGCCTCCTACCCTGTAATGTGTCTACCCTATAGCGTTTCCACTAAACACACATTCTTCCTCTAATTACTATGTTTCCCTGTGCCTTTGGCACCACCTGCCTGAGAGGCATGTTTGGACACAGCCAAGTGCGTGTAGCTGAAGCTCAGGGCTGGGACAGGAATAGTAGGAAATGCAGTTAGAGAGGTATGGAGGCCAAGCTGGGAAGGTCTTTCAATGTTCTCCTGTGGGCAATGGAAAATTCAAAAAATGGTTTTTATATACAAGAGGGGCAGAAAGATGTTTTTGGAAGTGGTAAAATGGCTCACTTGGCAATAAGGAAGTAACTGTCCCCAAATTCACTGAGGACCAGTGAGCACAAGCAATCACAGGAGAGAATGAGTGAGGGGTCAGACAGGAACCCAAGAGCCCTGCTCCAGGCGTGGTTCTGGCTGTACCACTGGAAGAAAATGACTTCTTTTGATCTCTCACCCTCACCCCTCTTCATCCACTCACTTCCCTTAATGCATCCTAGTGCCCCAGACAGGGTCAGAAGAACAAACATCCACTTATGTCGATGGGTGGGGATAGAAAGATGAATTAGGGCATAGACAGATGGCACAAAAGACCTGGGGTACCTGGCTCCCCCACGCTGTGACCATGGCCATGCCCACTCACCCAGGGCAGGCAAGGAGAAGTGCCGCCCCGTGCTGGCAGGAGGTGCAGGCGGCTCTGCAGGCACCCCCCTGCAGCACTCTTTCCTGACTGAGGTGACCGACGTCTATGAGATGGAAGGGGGGCTGCTGAACCTGCTCAATGACTTCCACTCGGGCCGGCTGCAGGCCTTCGGTGAGTCCCGGGGGTGGGGCCCGAGGGCTGGGTCTCTGGGGGCGAGGCTGGGACCGCAGTCCCAAGCTGGCTCCCAGAGCTGACAGGCGCTGTCCAGGGAAGGAATGCTCCTTTGAGCAGTTGGAGCACGTGCGGGAGATGCAGGAGAAGCTGGCCCGGCTGCACTTCAGCCTAGACGTGTGTGGAGAGGAGGAAGAGGAGGAGGAGGAAGAGGACGGGGTGACTGGCGGGCTACCTGAGGAGCAGAAAAAGACGATGGCTGACCGCAACCTGGACCAGCTGCTTAGCAATGTGGGTCAGGCTGCGGGCTTTGGTTCCTGAGGGCACCCGGGGGTGGGAGGGTACATGCTGCCAAGACCATTCCTGGCCCCTAGGTGAAAAACTGGGGGTGCATGGAGGCAAAAGCTCTGGGCCTCTCAACACCCACCAGAAGATGAGCCCCAGAACATCCAGAGTTTGGCCTGGTGCCCCTCCTTACAGAAATCCCCCTTTCTCTTTCTGTTGACAGCTGGAAGATCTTAGTAATTCTATGTATCCTTTCTAGGGGACTTGACAGTGGGTGTCTTCCCCTCCCAGATATAAAATCAGCTTCTGCCTCCCCACCACCCTGCAGGAATATTTACAGATAATCAACATCCTCACCCCTTTCACTCCTACAGAATTAGCCACAAACTCCCCCTACCCTGGTAGAGGGTGCAGAAAGAATTCCCCAAATGTTAGGTGAAAGAACAGTGGTTGCAGGGAATATGTTCTACCTACTTATCAAAATATTTGTAGGCACTTTAGCTGACACCAATCTATGACAAAGCTTGTCTGATGTCTCCCTATTCTTTCAGCACTGAACAATTATTTTTACTGATCAGACTATCTCACATCTAGTCCTAACAGAAGTAGTGCACACACATGATCTAAACCAAAAGCGAAGGGGGTAAGGCCTGGCAAGAGGGGCCAGCAAGGGCTGCAATCCTGAACCACGGACCACCCCAGTGTCCCTGACCCCCGCCCATTCGCGCAGTTGCGGAAACCAATCCTGTGCAGGCTGGGACAATAGGGCTGGAAGGACCTGGGGTCCAGAGCATCACAGTCCTTGACCCGCACAGACAGAAGCTGCACCTGGCCGAGAACGCCGAGCCTGAGGAGCCGTCAGCTGTGTAGGTGTAAGACCCAGGCCTTGACTGTCCCTTCTCATTTCCTTCAAACTGTGACTTTTTTACGGACTCGAGTGGATGTTTCGCGGCCCCCCCAGGTGCTATGGGAGAGGGGGGCACTGAATGGAATTAAACCAGAAGGAAAGAAAGCGGTCTGTGTCTTCTCTCGTTGCTCCTTTTACTCGGAGGGGCGCCCGGGCCCCAGCTCTCGCAGGGACTCCCCTGCGCAACACACCTGGTTTGGGATGTCCCGCTCGGGCGGTTGGATTCCCCGGAGCTGCTCGGGGTGTAAGGGAACAGCGCCGGCTCGCGCCGGGTCCTGACTGTAGCCCAAAGAAGGCCAAGGAGACGGCGGGGCGGGGCCTGAGCCCATCGGCCCGCGGCGCAGGCCGGTGACGCACTGCGCAGGCGCCAGGCGGGTCAGTTTGCGCCCGGATGGAGCGGGAGCGGTTGGTTCGGAAGGTGACGGCGCTGCAGGTGCGGGGCGGGCGGCTTGCCTAGTGATTTCCCCCCACGGGTTCTCGGACTGGGTGGGACCTTTGGACCAGGTGAGGCTCTCACGTCTAGTAACCTGCCCGCGTGCCCATGTCCGAAGCTACCGACCCACCCCACCGGCCTGAAGAATGTGGGGACCCTAGTGATCCTCACGCGTCCGCCCCCTCCCCCACCCCGCACCACCACCACAAGCAATTACGGGATCAGGGAAAGGGTGGGAAGGGCCTTCAGTCGAAGAACTGTGCTGGATCCAATCCAGCACACTCCCTCGAACCCCCGGAGCCCCAACGCACAGCGTCACCTGCCCTTTCCCCGAGCCCGGTCCCCTATTGCAGTCACGCGGATGACCTCTCCAGGAGCGTTCCCCAAGATATCCCCATGTTGCAGTGATAAGGGTTTTTTCTCCCCTCGTTCTCCACACCAGGCCTGCATCCGGGGCTTCTTGGTCCGACGCCAGTTCCAGAGTCTTCGAGGTGAATATGAGGCTATTGTACGAGAGATCGAGGGTGATCTGGGCACGCTTCAGTGGACTGAGGGCTGGATTCCCAGGCCCCGATTTCTCCCAAAGGTACTACACACCCTAGAGGTAAAAAATAAAGAGGGACCTGGGCAAGGGGATTCCACCTTACCTGCCGACAAGCTTTTCTCAATGGAAAAGGGAGCAGACTCACCTCCTCACACCCCAATCCTTAGTCCTCATCAATTGGTATGCTAAATCAGAATGTCCAGATCCTTGGAGGGTTTAGCCTCAGGGCTCTCACCCCTTTGATTTCTCAGAAGGCAAAATCCCATCAGATCTGGAAAGCCGGCGGAGAGAGGGTACCAAATCCAGAGCAGGAACTATGGAGCCACTTCCCATGTAAAGAGACTGAGAAAGAGACCATCTGGGAGGAGGTGATACTGAAGAAGTCAGGAGAGAGCTTCACAAACTCCAGCAGTCTTCCCTGCAGAGATGCCAGCGCCTGGCTTCAGGATGAGCAGAGCAGGAGGACCAGGAAACCGAGCCAAGAGACCAGAGATGTGTCAAGGATGGAAAACCCAGGTACACCTCTACCTAGATCAGGGCAAGCCTCTGCCCTCTGGGCCCTAAGCGTTCCCATCTGAAAAGTGAAAGGCTTGCTGCATCCCTTTCTTCCCTCCTTCTGGTTGGGGGCTACTTATGGGTGGGTAGGGGGAAGGTGCCAGGCCCTAAGGGCTAAGCCAGTGTGCAGTGTCTGTTCCCTCAAGGCTTTCTCCCTTCATTCTCCTTCACAGAAGCTGCAGGTCCAGGACTGTCCCACAGCCAGACTGAGCTCCAGGAGCTCCAGAACCAGCGCAGCCACTTGGCCATGGAGCTGCTGTGGCTACAACAGGCCATCAATAGCCGCAAGGAGGTAGGCACTAATTTGGAGCCTTTTTTGCACATTTAGGGCCAAGGGTGGGGGTTAAGGAAATACCTTCTGCCAGGCCCAAGCAGACCTGCCTGGTACAGTGTCTGTTCTTTTCTCTAACAGTACCTAGTTCTCAAACAAACACTGAGATCCCCAGAAGTGGACCAGAACAGACATGAGCCCAGCTTGTGCCAAGATCATGGGGAACATAGCTGTGAAAAAGCTGGATCACAACCAGGCCCACCACTGGAAGACCAGTCCTACAGAGGCAGGACCCCTGCAGAGCCAGGCCATGTGGATGCCTCCTGCTGGAAACTCAGATCACAACCCCACAAATTCCCAGAAAGACTGGCCACTCCAGATAAAACCACTGCTGGGGCCAAGTACAGGGACCCATGCTACAGACGGCCTGGACCACAGCTGCCCACACCACCGGAATGCCAGGCCACAGGGAAGAGGCTCACCAAAGAGCCGGACTGTGGAGAAGAGATCTCTGGAGAGGCCTGCCTGCAGCTGACACTTCTAGAGGATGAAAGCCACAAAGAGCTCAAAGCTAAGGGCTCCTGTCCTGGAAAGGCCAGGACACAGCTGCCCACACCCCGTGAGGACCCAAACATTGAGGACAATTCTCCCAGGGGGCCATGCCAAAAAGAGCCTGATTGGCAAAGAGCTGTGCCACGAGAGTTGGGCATCTCAGAGGACTGTGTCACCTGGGATGGGTCTTTGGCAGAGCATGGTGGCCTGGATCTCTGGAAGAATAAACCACCCAAGGGCCAGACCCCCAGGGACAAAAGCTCCATAGATAGACCCTCCAGTGAATCTAGCCATGAAGGATGGCAAAACCAGAGGACTACACCATGGAGATCGAGGCCACCTGAGAAACTGTCCACAGGATCAAACCACACGGGAGAGGATCACTGGAGGGGCAGACAGTGGAAAACAGGACCAGCAGGCTAGACCCTGGGGAACCAGGGAGGACCAGGTTCCAAAGGGGGATGCTGTGAAAGGGCAGTGAGGGAGACAGACCTCATCGTAGCTCCCTGGTCCCAGTTGTACCTCCTGCCCCTGCCCCTGCCCCTGGGTATTGGTGGCTAATGAGGCCAAGAGAAGCCAGAGCACAGAGCTGGCACCAGTAGAGGGAGAAGGTGGGAGGCTACTTCCATCCTCTGCCGGTGGCTCAACCCACATTTTGGAATAGGGAGCCACCTGGGGCGAGGCAAGTTGGAGCATAAAGGTTGAGAATAAATAAAGATGGAGAAGAAAGGTTTTCGTTAGATTCTGAGCCTGGTGGCATTTATCTTCTGCCCCTGGTCAGGACAAGCTTCTGGGACCTCCTGTTCACTTCCTGCTGACATGGGGCATCCTCTCCAGAGCTGGCCGGGAGCCCCAGCCTAGGAGCATACTAGCATCCTTGGGGAACAGCCCCCCAAAGCTGTTGGACTACAGAGTGGCAGGGAGGCTCTGAGAATCCCTGCCCCAACCTAGTACTGAACATCTGTATTTCAGTGTGATCTCTGCCACTGCCCCTCTCACTGAGCCCCGGCTCTTCCTTCATACCTAATGACCAGACCCACCCTACTCCTGTGAGGCCCCACCAAGAGCAGACTGGATGAGACCCTGAATGCAGACAGATGCTCCTATGGAGGCTCTCCCTGCCTTCCTGAGTGAAAAGGCAGGACCCACCTCTGACTGGCATTGCTCCCAACCCTGCCTTAGTTGCCTGGCAACAGCTCTGCGTCTCTAGCCAGGGACACACAATGGCCGGTGGCGGTCCAGCAGCTAAGAGGGTAGTGGTGTACCGGAATGGGGACCCCTTCTCCCCAGGCCGCCAGCTGGTGGTGACTCAACGCCGCTTCCCCACCCTGGAGACCTTCCTCTCGGAGGTGACCTTGGCTGTGCAGGCCCCAGTGGCCGTGCGTGCTCTCTACACCCCTTGTCATGGCCACCCTGTCACCGACCTGGCAGACCTGCAGAACGGAGGGCTGTATGTGGCTGCTGGCTTCGAACATTTCCACAGGCTCCCGTGAGTGGGCTGGGGCTGGTCAAAGAGCCTGGGGAGGGAGGTAATAGCAGCAGCAAAGCAGGTGTTCAGTACTGACTATGTAGCTCACTCATGGGACATTAACAGTCCTGTGAGGCAGGTGGTCTTATCCCCATTCTTTGGAAGAGCAAATCAAGATAGTCCTAAGCTGCCTAGGAGTAGACAACACAAGTGGAGCCACAGTTCAAGTCAAGAGTCTGACACTGATGATCATGCCTATCCAGCCAGGACCAACCCATGGCAAGAACAACATTCTCATGCTAGTTGAGCCCCCTTTGCCAAAGGCTCTTCCTGATGGGATCCTTATCACCCCCGTCACCACCACCATCAAATACTCTAAAATCCATCCATAGGCATCCCGTGCTCTCCAGTAGGGATCACCCTTTACAGGGTGTGGCTGTGCTTTCCAAGATGGGAGACTAATTTCAGTGTTTGAGCTTCCAAGTCAGATCTGGCCTCCAAGCCTTCCTCCACTCTCAGCGAGCTGAGAGGTTGCTCACTGTAATGTAAGGAGCCAGGAGTTGGGAGCTAGACAGACTTAGAATCTAAGCTTGGTCACTTCCATGTTACTTAGGGAGTTCTTGTTCTGTCTCATATAAAATGAGATGAAACCACATACCCTGTGAATGAGAACATTTCTGAGATACAGGAGGATTTTGACCTTTAATTATGTGGTTTGTGCCTGAGACCCCAGACTGGATGTGCAGCTTGATACACACAGGCCTAAGGCAGGTTCAAGTGTCAGCATCTGTTTCTGGACTGAGATGACTTGAGACTGTTTCACTGGGAAGAGAGACCTGGTGAGCTGGGCCCCAGCCCTGCCCTCTGGCAGCTGCTGGGCTGCTGAGATCACAGCATCCAAGATGACCTGTGACCTCTCTGTCCTTTCAGCTATTTACCCCCTGGAGGGAAGGATCCAGGTGGGAAGAGCAGCAGATTGGCAGTGAGTCCTGGGGCAGGCCAGCCCCCAGCCCTCTGTTCTCCCCGTCCCCTGGGATGGCTCCCACTTTGGTCTGGGTGGTCAGGGGCCCTGGAAGCAGCAGGATCTGCCGCTCTCCACACCTACTCTGGAGCCAGCTGCTAGCCTTGCCGGGGTGCAGGATTTCAAAATGCTGTTCCCTGCGCCTTTCACAACCTTTTATCTCCAGGCTGTGGTCCTCAAAGGAAACAGGATGCTATAAAACAGAGGGATGGGAGGGGGTTAAGAACGTGACTTAGGGAGGTAGAAGCACCCTGTGGTAAAAAGTGTGATCAGTCCCACCCTCCCTACCCCCTCTTTCACCCCAGCCTGGTTCCTTTCCCTCATCCTACCCACCTTGGACTGACCTACCCCTGACCAAAGACCTCAACATGCTCCTGATCTGGGGACCTGATGGGTTTCAGGGTCCTCCCGTGACTCGGCAGCTGTGTGATGGGGCCCTTGGACGGCAGCTACCTGCAGGTTCCCCCTGCTACATCCAGTGAGTGCCCGTGTTGGGGAGGCAGGGGCATAGAGTTTTGTTTCAGTGAGACCAAGGAAAAGTGGGTGGATTTGTTCCAGAAGCCCCTGGTGACTGGTGGGGACGGAAAAAGTCCAACATGCTTACTGGGTGAAGAGGGACCCGTGCACCGAGTCTCAGACTGTCTTCTGGCCCCAGTGCCATCCTTCATTCTCTCACAATTAAGGAGTTCTGGAGACCATTCCCCTTACCAGGCTGCTCTTTGTCCCAGTGTGTTCAGGAATGGGGACCTGTCAAGTCCTCCATTCAGCCTGAAGCTGTCCCAGGCCGCCAGCGAGGACTGGGAAGCACTGTTGAAGCTCCTGACGAAGAAGGTGAAATTACAGAGCGGGGCTGTGCACAAGTGAGTCTGGGGACTGCGGAAACCCGAATGTCCCTAGAGGGAGCCGCCCTACTGGTTCTAGCCTTCCTGGAGGATGAAAAGGCCAAGGCCAAAGGAAAGCATGTTTCCCCAACGGGGACTTCTTTCTGTGCCAGAGGGAGAGGCCCTTCTGGCCCAGCCCTTGGAGCCAGGGTGGAGCCTGGGGGACTGGCCCTGGTGCCCGGAGGACCAGCAGCCGCCGGGCACCTTGGAAGAGCTGTACCCACCCCCTCACAGTCTGATGAATATCAAGATCCACCTTGTTCACTGGCCCTTATGTACTCACCTCTCTCCCCCAGGCTCTGCACCCTGGATGGGCTCCCACTGTCAGCAAGGGAGGCTCTGGTGAACGGCCATTACTATGTGGCCGTTGGAGAGGATGAGTTCAAGGCCCTCCCCTATCTGGAGCTGCTGGTGCCCAGTTCCTCACTGCCCGGGGGCTGCTGGTATGTATGTATGAGGGGGAGGGGTGCCAGGTTAGAGCAAAGGAAGCCACCCTGACTCCATGTCCTGCTCTGCCCCCTATAAGCCTTCTCTTTTTTCATTGCAGGAGTCCCCCAGATCCAAAGTCCAAGCCCCACAAGCAGGTGGTAGGTGACCCAGGGGGTTGTGGGGGGCGGGAAAGAAGGAAGTGACTAGCTTCCCTCTGACCTTATTGTACTGTATCCTCTCAATAATTTTGTGAAATAAAGATTGTTATTCCCATTTTCCAGAAGAGAGGCTGAAGTTCAGAGGAGTGAAGTGATTTGTTCAGGGTAACACAGTTACTGACAGCAGCCAGACCAGAACCGGGTCTGAAAGTCAGCTTATCTGGGCTCTACGATGATCTTCGCCACTCTGAGTTGCTGGACCTGATGCCAGATTGGATGCTGGGAAAATCAGCATATCTGGCATGGCAGGGTCCAAAATGCTTATCAGCTTCCCATCTTATCCCAGGCCTAAGCCCTCCCAAGAGATGAGCCAGTGAGTTGGGGGTTCAGTTCAGTTCAGTCGCTCAGTCATGTCCGACTCTTTGGAAAAGAGTTGGTTAGGAGGATACAAACTGGTTTCACTGAGCATTTAGAATACCAGGCATCATCTACTATGTCCCTGAATAAAGCAGCCTGATGGAAGAGGGAGCAGGGAGGGAAGATGCAGGCTATGAAGATGGATGGCTTCTCCTCTCTCAGGCTCCCAAAGGCATCAGAGGCATTCACACCTGGACTGGGAGTGGAGAAGGTAAGGACAGCCTACAACCATGGCCCACGCTCAGTGTTCCCTCTGCAGGCCCAGGGCCATAGAGCACAGGCAAGCCAGTCCTCTCCAAATGAAGCCAGACAGATCAAGCCATCTGCTTTCTATGCCAGACCCCAACGAGCTATTGAGCCAAGAAATATGTTCCCCACACTCTCATTTCCATCAGGTGAGGGGATCCCAGAATTCAAGGCCTTCTCAGCCAGCTTCTAACAGTGACATGGGATGGTGCCTGCTGGGGATGACACAGAACGGGTGAGGGAGTCCCATGGTTCGGAGCTGGTCTTGATGTCAACACAACTGTCTCCTACTCCCTCATGTGCATAGCCAGTTCTTTGCCTTTTCATGAGGACCTGGCTTATGAAAAGAAACATGTGGAAACTCAAAGATACGACATTTCAGGGGTGGGATTTGGAAGGGTTGGGGATGGGGGCCAAAGGTCTGCCCCTGAACTAACCTCCATCCTCTGTGGTCATGAGCAAGGCTCAGGGGAGGGGAGGGGGCTGATAGAGAAAGTCTGAGGGAAGAATGTTGAGGGCTCCTCAGCCTCGGCGTTGATCTATTGCCTTCCACATCAGGAACCAAGGGAGTGTATGGGGCTCCCCACCCAAGGAAGGAGATGGCAGGGGCCCAGGAAGTAGCAGATGATGAAGACACCCAGACAGAGAAGCCCTTGGATCAGGTGGGCTGGGGCTGGAAGCCGTGTGTTGGCTTTTGTTTTGCTTGTATGGTTTGTTCTTTGGCTGTACCCTGCAGCATGTAGGACCTTAGTTCCCCAACCAGGGATCAAACCCGCACCCACTGCATTGGAAGCCAGGGAAGTCCCTGGAAGCCACATGTTAGGATAGGAGTTCTGAGCTGGAAGCCAGCAGCCCTGGGTCCCAGAAACAATTCTCCCTTGTGACTGTGAGCAAATCTAACCTTCTCAGAGCCTGAGTTCCTATGTTAATGAGATGGTGGATCCAGATTTCTGGTCTCTTCCTTTCCTGGAGTTGGGAAACCCCAGGCTAACGGCTGGAGGCTGGACTGGGGTGCTTAATGGCTCCGTCCTGTGTGGCCTTCTTCCTCCTCCAGCGAGCAGCACAGATAGTGGAAGAGGCCCTGTTCCTGGAAGACCAGCCTGGGGCTGGGGCAGCTATCTCAGCCTGATGCCTGCTCCACCATCTTGAGATCCGGCAGCTCCAGCCAGGAACTGGGGACCTTCATTCTGCAGCCATCTTTTATCCTCAGCCTCCAGCATCCTGTTCTCAAGGAACCAGTGTCTCCTCTGGGCTCACTGAAGGGGTATGATGCAACCCTTTCAGTCCAGCTCTTCTGCTCGTAAACTACACGCCCGTCTTCCTTTCCTTTTAGAGTAGAGAAGCCCCAGCTACAGAGGCTATTTCCCTATGAGGTCTCTGGCCAGAGAAAGCAGTAGCCAGCTGGGTTTGGGGGAGAGACCACAAACATGGGAGTGGGTCTGTCACAATAAAAGAATACTTACTAACCTCCATCTGTTTACTATAGATTTATTACAGACAACTGATTTAGCAACTCAACAACTGCTCACCCAGCATTGCTCCACACGCTAGAGCTGGGCAGTGCCCGGGCCCACAGGCATTTGAGGGGAGCAGACAGTTGAGGATTTACACCCACCTCAACGGAGGGACAGGCGAGGCTAACAGCCAGCTCCTCTCCCCCATGTCATCTGCTATTCTTAGACACTTTCCCTCAGTTCCCTGTTCAGCCAGCGAAGGCTGAGCCCTGGAGGCCTCCTGTCTGCATTTCTGGCTCAGAGGCTGTAGCGGGCCTTCCCCTTGCAGCTGGGGTTCTGCAGTCCACCATCCAGCTGCTGGGATAGTCCAGGTCAGGCCGCAGTAACAGCGGCAGGTCTGGGGACCTGATGTGACAGCAGAGAGTGCTGCTGGGGCACGAGGGTTGCTGAGGGTGCGGGTGAAGCCTCTTGTGCTAAGTCTGAGTGGTTGAATAGCACTTGAAAGTTACAAAACCCTTCTACTCTTGTTCTCTTATTACGAACCGTGAGGTAGTTATTATCCCAGGAGGTGAGGAAGCTGGGGCTGCGGCTGGGGGTGGGAGGGCTAATTCCCAGGCTCACTGCCTCTACCTCATGGCCCAAGGGTTTCCTGGAGATAGCAGAGCTGGAGGTGGCCTTGGATCAAAGTGCAGACGGTTGCCCTTGCGTCTTGGTCACTGAGCTTGTGATGCAGAGTGTAATTCCTGCCACGGTGAGCACCATGCCAGCAAATGCTCCTGGGATAATGGGTAGAAATTGAGGAGCTCTGAGACTAGCCATGCCAGGAGGAGCTGACGCAGGGCTGAGGAAGGGCTCAGATGGGAACTACCCAGGGGAAGGCAACTCTGATGGTAACAAGGAGGCAGGAGAGCTACAGAGGAAAGGGCAGGATGAGGGAAGAGCCTCTCCTCACCTGGTCACAGAAGACAGCTCTGGAAAAAACTAACCCAGGGGTGTCAAAGTCCAAGTAGTGGCTTCCCGAACTTGCAGTGTCCTGACTTACGTTTTCCACCAATATCTTCTCCAAGGACCTTCCCAACAATCAGTGTAAAGATGATGGCCAGAGAGTTACTGATGGGCACAGCTAGGGTCAGATCTGAGTGATCAGAATGAAAAGAATCTCTGAGATGCAAAAAAAATGTTTAAAAAGACCTCTTTCTAGGCACAAAACACTTTCATTACATCATCAAGACAGTTTTTAAAAAAGTGTCTCATGACCCCATTTTTTCAGATAAATCGCAGCAAAGCTCAGGATTCAAACTCAGGTCTCCTGACTTCAAATTCAGTGCTTCCTCAGGATTCCAGCAAGAAGACCTAAACTACAAGGTCTGGGACCATCTTGGTTTGCTGGTAAGGATGAGTGAGGTCTTTGCACTCAAGAACTACTTTGATCTCAAGGACATCTGGACAGACAGGTACCCAAAACCCAAAGCATGCAGTAACACAGCCACCACTTATCAAGCACACTTTATGTGCTGGGTGCTTCGTGTACACATCGAATCAATCTTCATAACAACAATGCAGGAAGAGCATTAGCACCATAATGGAAACAAAGGCTCACAGACACCACATAAATGGAGGCAAATTGAGGATTTAAACCGAGGTCTGCCTGACTCCAAAGCCTGTGCCTTTACTGAACTAAATGGATAAGGACAAACCAAAACAGCAGGTGAAGCACATTTGTTTCTGTTTCAGCTCAGGCTTGGGCCTCATGGAATTATATAAGAGAAAAAACATCAGAGGTAGGAACAGGTACAGGACAGGCCCCACAGGGCTGGGTCTTAAGTAGAGGTCACCACAGTCCAGGATCTGGTGCTTAGTTTTGAAGCTCTGACTTCAATAAACGAAACTTCAAAAAGACTTAGCGGAGTTAACAATACTCTTAACTTAAAATTTATTACACTTAAATTTTGTACATTTGAAGCTTTTTAAGAAGACAGATTTTATGTTATGTTCTTAAAACACATACCAAAAAAAAAAAAAAACTGAAAAAACTAATGGATAAATAAGAAACTGAGTTTCTTGTTTGCCAGACTCATAACTGCCAGGCAGGCTGTGTACGTTGGCTCCTCAGCACATTGTTTCCCAGCCCTCCCAGGCCTCACCTGCTCCAGGTAGAGGTGGAGAGAACTGTGTAGCTGCTCATCCCCCACAAGGCACTGCCATGACTGGTATCTGCCATCCAAGAAACTGACACAACTGCCATCTACTCAGAGTGCTTTCCTTAACCTTATACAACACAGAATGTAATGATTGCTAAAGACTGGTTTGCAACAGTAGATGGGGGAGGGAAGCAGCATGGTGCGAGGGAAGAACAGGACACTGGAGTGAGGCAGACCCAGGTTTCCCTATGTGGTCTTGGCTAGGTCATTCAAACACTCTGAGCCTGTTCCCTACCTGAGAAACAGTGATAGCAAGATAACAGCATCATCTTACAAAAGGGCTTTTGTAAGATGAAATATGATAGCGTGTGTATATCCTTGGCTGAATAAATACTAACCACTGTTCTGACTATTAGAATGGTGGACCTTAAAGGATATAGGCAGGGTAAGTGGTGAGATAAGAGGATCCTGAAATTCCAATTTGCTCAAAACTTGGTAAATGGCTAACTGCAGGCATCTGTCCAGAGCACTCAGCCTTCTGGGCAGCAGGGAGTGCCAGAGGCTTTCAAACTTTTTTTAAAATGAAGTCTTATGAGAAACCCATAATGTAAAACAGATGAAGGTGGAGTGATGCTAGTTGAAGCTGACTGACCTGGAGAAGCAGATATGGAGGTTGGCCTATCCCCTCCCTTGACTTCTGAGGGGTTTCCAAGGGCTATTTGGGGTCCAAACTCCCCTCAAATCCATGGGGGGGGGGGGCAGGTGAGACTCCAGGTGAGTTATAGAAAAGTTATAGCAAAAACTTCTCATAGCAAGGTTCAAGAGCATAAACTTTAGTAATAGACGGCTTCACATCCTTCTGCACTGACATGCTGTGGGACTTAGGAGATGAAATAAGTTGCCCACAAGTTTGGTAACTTCATCGCCTTGGTGGAGACAATCGTGTCCATTTTATAAGGTTGAGAATTTTTTAAAACGTGTAAAACTAGAACAGTATCTGATGCAGCAGACGGCACACAACAAAAGGGGAAAGGAAATTTATCCTTATTGCGCTCCTCTAGTCCACTGTGCACCAGGTACTGCTCTGGATGCTTCTCAATACTGAACTTAATTCTCTCAGTGCTATGAAATCAACCATAAAAAATCAAGGTTCAAATAAGAGACTTGGCCAAGGTCAGGCAGGTAGTTAGCAGTGGAAGCAAGAGTGTCAAAGGCAGCCCTTGGGGAATTTGCTGTCAGTCAGGTGGTTAGGACTCTGTGCTTCCACTGCAGTGGGCCTGGGTTTGATCCCTGGTCAGGGAACTAAGATCCCATAAACTGCATGGTGCACACACACACAGACACAAAAAACAACCCTTCACACAGCCAAAGGAACTTTCTTTCTCTGCTGCTGCATAAGATTGCCAGGCTTCAAACCAATCCTGTGCCTGGCAGCATACTCATAACCAACCCACCTACCCTACTGCAATATGGAACCAGATCCCTCACTCATGGCAACAAGGTGTTTGAGACACCCCCCCTCCACCCTAAGCACAGCAGATCTAAGCCAGAGACCCACCTGTTGATGCCAAGGTGAGGTAATAGAGAAGGGAACCACACTGGTTGAGAGAAAAGGGCATCAGGTACTGGAAACAGAAGAAAACTACAGTCAGTGTGATTGCTTACCTGAGCAGGGATGCCTTCTTTGAGCTTCAAAATAAGCCTTTCCTTGGAGGGAGGGGTAGCTATAAGGGCCTAGAGCCTAAGCCATCTGAAAAGGACCCTTCCAGGGCAGAGAGAACATCACTGACTGAACCCCATGCCTTTGCCCTGAATGCCCTCTTCTTCAGCCCTGCTGGTTTCTATCCTCCCCATCCTGCAAGTCCCTGAGTGCCAGTGTTCCTCTCTCCAAGAAACCTTCCCTCAGTCGCCTAGCTCCAGCCTCCCTCCTCTGAACTCACGCAGCACTTTATCTGTACCTCACTCAAAGCCCTTAGCCCTGAGAGGCGGTTGTGTCTATGTCTTGCCTTTCCCACTAGCCGAGACTGGCAGCACTGAGCTCAGAAGTAGTACTCTAAATTCTTCCTTACCCCACTCCCCAGAGCCAGTTTGAGCCCTAAGCCCTCCGTCTGGAAAAGTCTGTTGGAAGGATCACCACAATAAAATATTGATAGCGGCTCAGGGCATCATAGACTTGAGACCTAATTATATGTATAAGGCCCATTGCTAAGTGCTTTATGTGCCTCACCTCACTTAACCCTCACAACTGCCCCATGAAACGGTTACCCTTATTATCCCCATTTTACAGATGATGAAACTGAGACCCAAGGCAGATAAGAGACTCATCCAAGAGCTTCTGGCGAGTAAGTGGTGGAGGGCAGATTTTGACCCTGATCTGTTTGACTCCAGAAACCAAATTCTTAGCTGCTACCCGCTAGAGAGGGCTCACTCACAGACGCACCTCGGGATTCAAGAAGAGGGTTTTCATTTCCTGCAGCAACTGCCGGGCCCAGGTCCGCTCATGAACCTGCCGCAGGCGGGAGGAGGCCCGCTTCAGCAATGGCTGCGTGCCGCCCCACAGAGCTGCCACCAGCACCAGAGCCAGCACCTGCCCTGGATGGAGAGAAGCGTGACATCCCCCGCCGCCCCACCGCACGGCCTTAGCCCTCCTCCCGCCTCCCATTCCCACCCCGCCGCCCCCACACCTCTTCTTTGCTCTCCGACGCCCCGGGTGTGACTGGCGGGTAGGACAGGCCCCGGGAAGCCGGGGGGATGGATCCTGGAGCCTAGGTTCGGGGTTGTAGCAGGGGTCGGGGTTAGGTGGTGAAGGTGGAGTAAGAAATGAACTTGGGATAGCGGTCTGGAAGCCAGGGGAGGGGCGGGGCCAGCTTACCCAGGGTCGCCGCCATGGCAACGCCGCTCCTCTCCACTTCCGGGAATGAAGGGGGCGGAGACTCGTGATCCGGAAGTGGCGCCAAAGCCTCTTCCGGTTCTACTCACGTTGCTGCTTTCCTCGCGTCACCGCTGGGATGGTGAGTTCTCTTGTGTTAAAGGTGTTGACGTGGGGGTCCGGGCTGGGGTAGGGGCCAATTCTGGGCGCTGACACTGCCGTCCTGTCCCCACAGAAGCCGATCCTGCTGCAGGGCCATGAGCGGTCCATTACTCAGATTAAGTACAACCGCGAGGGAGACCTCCTCTTCACGGTGGCCAAGGACCCTGTGAGCGTCGGCCGACGGGCGGGCCCGCCGGGACCTTGCTGAGGGGGCCCGGGAGCGGGCGAGTTCATTCTCCCGGGGCTAAGGGTGGACAAGCTAGTTTTGCTGCGAGAGATACCAAAGAGTGCCCCGTTCTGAGAAGTAGGGAGAGATCATCCCGGGGTTTGGAGGGCAAGAGCATTACACCGATAGATGTGGGAAAGGACTCCATTGTTGATAGGAGGAGGGAGTAGCCAGGGAGAAGACAAGCAAGGGGACCTTGTGGAAAGGGGACGGGGACGGGGGTCATCTAGCTCATGGGCGGAGAGGGGCTCATTCCGGGGAAGAACAAAACTATTCTACAAGGATAGAGGAACAGACCACCTGGAGAAGGGGGAATTCGATCCTGGGGCGGCGAGGGATAAAGGCCTTAAAGAAGGTGTCCTTGGTATCATTTCAGTCATCCCTCTTCCTGCCACTCAATCACTGCAAACAGCCTCTCTGAGTACTGCCTTTTGAGGCACCTCCATATGAAGAAAGTTAACCCTAGTGGCTAAACGTGGGGGCTCTGAAACCAGACAGACCTGATTTGAATCCTCAGTCCTGCATTCACTAGCAGTGTGACTTTGAACATGCCATTTAACCATTATAAACTTTAAGTGCACCTTTTTACAAAATATGTGTAGTAATAGTACCTCCCTCTTGGGTTGTCTTTAGGATTAAATGAGATTATTCAAATAAGAAGCTTACTTGAATAAAGAGTGTTTGTGAGTACCATATTAATGTTAGACACTTAAATTTTAAATTCCTTAGACATTATTTTATTGGAATTTCATAGCTACCCTCTGAAAAAGGCGTTATTGTCCTGGCCCGTTTACACTTGGGAAAACTGAAGTTCAGAGGGGAAAAGCACAAATTTTGAGATAATACAGTGAGATGGTAGCAGAGCAGGGACTGGAACCCAGGTTTCCCTCCTACGAACTGCTCCCATTTGGACAGAACACCAAAACACTACTGTTTTGCTAGGCTGATACTCAACTTGACCTTTTATTCCTCAAAGGGTTTAGGAGTCTGGGGAAAGGCTGGTATGATGGAGACTTTTTTGCAAGCAGGAAGAGAATCCAGGAGTTGAGTCTTTTTACCAACAACCTGCTGTTCCCCAAGAGATGAGCAGGGGAGGGTAGAATCTGGCCTGGCTAGAAGCTTCTGGGGCAAAATAGTCCATGGCCCTGCCTGTGATGCCTATCATCCTGTCACATTGTCCTTGATCCTCCAGATTGTCAATGTATGGTACTCTGTGAATGGTGAGAGACTGGGCACCTACATGGGCCATACCGGAGCTGTGTGGTGTGTGGACGCTGACTGTATCCTTATCTTGTTCTGAGTCTGTGCTCCCAGGGTCTGCCAGCAATGGAGAAGCTGCTGACCTGAAGCTGGGAGTTTGAGATGCTATGGTGGGGTTTGGAGAATGATGCTACCTACCTCCTACTCCTTGGTCTGTTCACTAGTTCGGGGAACATCTTGGACAGGATCCAGTTCTGAATGAGGAGATTAGGATGAGAGAAGGAAGGCTGTCTGGTGCTGAATAGGGAGATGATTCAGTTGGCCTTCCAAGAGGACAAGGGCTCCGGTGAATTCTGTCACGCTTCTTAACACCCTCTTCAGGGGACACCAAGCATGTCCTCACTGGCTCAGCTGACAACAGCTGTCGTCTCTGGGACTGTGAAACAGGTAAGCCTGGATCCTTCACTTTTCTCAGCATACAGTGAAGACCTATATCATATGTTTATTGAGGCCAACAGGTTCTGGGGAAATAGAGATGAATCCAGAGATGGTTCCCAGTCTAGGGAAAAAGAGACAAGAAAATAAGGAAGACAGAGGTGAAAAGAGGCACTCCAGTGAGATACAAGCCTTCTTAGAGGTAGCAGAGTGCACTGTGAAAGCCGAGGGGGAGGCAAGTGAAGGCCTGAGATGGGGATGGGATCAGCCTGGGAGGTTTCCCAAAGGAAGTGTCATATGAGAGTGATTGCTGTGACACTTGCAAGAGTGAAATCACAGTGAGTGTCATGTCCGAGTCATCTGATCTGGCGGGAGTTCCTGCTTCTTGCGGGATGAAATAGACAGCAGTGGAGAAGCTGAGGCAGGCTAGGGCCAGAACAGGCCTTGAATGTGAACTCAGGAACATGACTTTGTTCTGTGGGACTTGGCATGCTGTGGAGGGCCCCGAGCAGGGAAGAGCGTGTTTAGTTCTTTTTTTTTTATTATTTTTGGCCACACCCTCTGGCAAGTGGGATCTTAGTTCCCTGACCAGGGATCAAACCCACACCCCCTGCATTGGAAGGCAGAGTCTTAACCACTGCTGGGGAAGTCCGCAAGCATATTTAGCTTTAGCAAGCCCAGGTAGCAGTGGGGAGCATTGTAGGAACAGACAGAAGACAGGGGAGTCTGTTAAACCACTCCATTTAGTAAATATTTTCTGGGTACCCAGATCTCTCCCAGGTCTTTGCTGGGCACTGGTGACATGCAGAGAAATTAGAGCAGGTCTTTGCTATGGAGAAGCACATTCTCCACAGAGGTGGAGACAGATACAGTGTAGTCCATTGTGAGTGCCACAGTGGCGGGCTGTCTGAGGAGGGACTGTGTGGAGAAGTTAAAAGACAGTTAAAAAGAAGAAGACGGGCGAGAGGCTCGAGTCACCGGCACAGGAGGAATAGTGCATTGTGACAGGCAGGGGTAGAGGGCATCCTTCTGGGATCAGCAGGGGGCTGGGACTAACCCGAGACTCTGCCTGTTCCCAGGGAAGCAGCTGGCCCTGCTCAAGACCAATTCAGCAGTCCGGACCTGTGGCTTTGACTTTGGGGGCAACATCATCATGTTCTCCACAGACAAGCAGATGGGCTACCAGTGCTTCGTAAGCTTCTTTGACCTGCGGGATCCAAGCCAGATCGGTGAGCCGGGGCTGGGGCACAGGACTGGGGTTGAGGTGAAGGGTGCGGCTCCAGAGCCCAGGGCCTGACATGTGCTGCCCCACACAGACAGCAATGAGCCCTACATGAGGATCCCTTGCAACGACTCCAAGATCACCAGTGCCGTTTGGGGACCTCTGGGAGAGTGCATCATTGCAGGCCACGAAGGTGGAGAACTCAACCAGTATAGTGCCAAGGTAAGGTGGATGAGGCCTACGCCCATCAGAATGATTCTCTGTGACAGGCAGGATGAGCCCGGGGGTTAAGAGTGAGGGCCAGTTTCACACAGACTTTACCATTTTCTAAGTATGTGATCTTGGTCGTATTATATAACTTCACGGAGCCTGTTTATCTGTAAGATGTTTCAAGGATCAGATGACCTCAGATGTTTGAAAAACTTGTCATAGAGTACTCAGGACATGTTACCAGTGATCACAATTAAGCGTTTCCCTGCCCCCACTGAGTGGCAGGCCCCATGCTAGACTCTGAGGACAAAGAAGGGAATCAGACATGGACCCTGCGCTCCGGGAGACAGACTGGCATACAGCTAGCACATGGGTCAGGTTGTGAGCTCTGCCACTATTGAGGTCTCAACCAAGTACAGAAATGTCCTCTGTCACAGAGGAGGTTGCATGTACATTTAACCTGTGAAGAATAAATGGAGCTTCAAGCCAGAAGAGAGGGTTGTTCCACAGACACAGGAGCAGTGTGTGTGAAGGCAGAGTTAAGGGAATAGGCGGATTCCTCAGGATGGGAATTTGGTCTCACTGGAATGTGGTGTTGGGGAAGGGGGACCAGGACTAGATTGCGGGTCCAGAGATACGGGAGCTGTGACTTCCCCTTAGGCAGGAGGAAATCTTCAAATGGTTATGCTGATCAGGTTTTCTGTTTATTTTTTAAAATATTTATTGGTTGATTTTATATTGGCTGTATCGGGTCTTGGTGGTGGCATCCCAGAGTGTGTGAACTTTAGCTGTGGCTCTCAGTCTTCATGTGGGATATTAGTTTTCTGACCAAGGATCAAACCCACATCCCTTGCATTGTAAGATGGATTCCTAACCACTGGACCACTAGGGAAGTCCCGGGTTTTTTTCTTTAGAAAGCTGTCATAGGCTAGATTGGAGAATGCACAAAAACTAGGTAGTAGTCACAGGGATGTGGGGTACCTGACAGGAGACATTCGGGGTGACCAGTGAGATGGAACGTTACCAAAAGGGTGAAGTCCAGGCTGTCTCAGATTTCTGATGTGGGCTCCTGGGTTTCTGGGGAATGCTGGGATGCAATACTGTAAAGGTTGGTCAGTCACTCAAGCACTGGCTGTGGTCCACTAAGGTACCAGGCCTACCTGCAGGAAGGGGATGGAACCAAGGTGAAGGCCATAAATAGTGCGTGATGCCAGCAAGCAGTGGAGCTGATCTGTGCCCCCAGATAGGCCTGACTGCAAAACTGGTGCTTGTTCCCCAAAATAGAGAAGCCAGATGCCTCCCTTCCATGTGTCCATGGAGGAGACAAAGATACATTCTTCCCTCACAGTAAGTGAAAGTAACTCAGGGAAGGAAATGACAATCTTCTGAGGGTCCCTGTGTGAGGCCTAATGCTTGAGGCCTTTTAGTCATCTTAACAAATGTTTGCAGAGCACATGCCAGGCGCCCATCACTCAAATTCAAGTAAACCCGTCCCAGTATCCTTGAGTCGGGAAGATTCCCCGGAGTAGGAAATGACAACCCACTCATATTCTTGCCTGGAAGATCCCATGGACATAGAAGTCTGGGGGGCTACAGTCCATGGGGTCACGAGGAGTTGGATCTTGTTTTCTAAATAGAGAAATCGAGGCACAGAGAGGTTGTGCTTGTTTGTTTTTTTAATTTGGCCATGCTGCGAGGCTTGCAAGATCCTAGTTCCCCACTTAGGGATTGAATCCAGGCCCTCAGTAGTAAAAGCACTGAGTTCTAACCACTGGACCACCAGGGAACTCCCACAGAGAAGTACTTTTAAGGGCAGATTCTAAAACTCTTTGTACTACATAGTCTAGCAGGTTCTGTAAGTGGGAAGGGAAATCAGATGA